CCAACCACTGCAACTAGCGACTAGCGTTGTCCGAAACAGAATAAAAGCACGCACATGTTAACGATGTGTCGAGAAAGCCTGAGCAATAGCTATTTATAATACATATACTGGTGATCACAATGGGCCAGGGGCCGGCCAGAGGGTCAGCTCAGTACCCAAACGCAACTCCCGGGATCCCAGCACCCAGCACCTGACACCATACCGGGCTAGGACACCCGGGTACGGGTGGATCTGACTTCCTGGTTTGATTTGTCTTCCGGCGTTCCAGATTCCGGCTTACCAGGGTGGCCGAGTGGTTAAGGCGTTGGACTTAAGATCCAATGTGCGTATGCACACATGGGTTCGAACCCCATTCCTGGTAGGAAGAGTGCTCTTGCTGGTAGAGGAAGTCTTTTTTTACTTCACTCTGTCTATTTTCTATTTTTCTTGCTCGGGATCGGGGTGCTAAAAAAGATGACGACGTCGACGTCAGGCCACTCATGAATATTTTTCTCTCTGACTTTTTTTGTGTTGTGGTTCATTTCAGTTTTGAATTTTGTTTGGGATATCAACCACTTTGTCAAGAACGCACACATACCTCATCTACGGACTCTTCTCTTTCCGTCGTCGAGACAATGCCGACAACGATACTGTTCGATAGTTCCCTGTCCATGCTTCGTCCTGTTGTGGCCGATGACCCCTCTTCGGAAAGTCGCCGAGTTTTGGCCGAGCATGGCATCGGTGCCTTCTTGGACGCGCTGAAGTCGTTCAATCCCCTGGAGTATGTCGCCTTGCTGTCGTTCAGTTCCTCGTGTGATGTCGCGGTGCCGTTTACCAGGGACCTGGATAGCATACGCGCGGGTGTGCTGGAAGTGGAAACATGGGACAAAACGCTTCTGCAGCGAGCAATTCGTGGTGCAGGTACGTCCATGTATTTGACGTACTAATAGCAGTGCGTGGACCCTTTCCAGCATAGTGGAAACTATTTTGTGACCTGACGTGCATGAAGTGCCTTGTATAAACACTGTGGCTCACACAAAATCCTACTTTGAATACAATCTATTTGTGGAAGATGGATTTTTTCGTACAAAATTGTAAACACATCACTTGGTTCCAGCTGTGAATGACCTCTGAGGTCAAGTACATGTGTTGGGGCTATCAAATACAAATACACTGCAGTAGACTGTACAGTCTATCATGGCCCTTGCAGGTGTGTAAGTGCCAGTTGAGCGGCACGTTTCCGCCTGTTGTAGCACCCTCGGTCGTGCAAGGGAAAGGTGTCGGCAAGAGTTCATAATCCCCCAGAGGGCGCAACTGAGATGGGGTTGTGGGACGGCGTAATCCGCGATGTATGTCATTTTTTGGGTCGGACTTGCGTCATTCCTTCGACGCGGTCCACCACGGTCCACACTTCCCCTACTCATGATGTCATGCTATGACGTGCAACACGGATTTCGCCGTCCCAGATCTGATCAGTGAAGTTGCGCACTCTTGGTGTCGGTGTTTGCGAGTTGTCATTATTCGCGAGGTCGAAAGCATGCAGCCGTGCACCAGGGAGTTATAGCATACAGAGTGACCTGCTGATTCCCAGCATGGCCCAGACAAGAGATGTGCCGTGTCATATAGCCCGTATGCGAACGTGTAGAACCGGCCCTGCCCCAATGATGACTGTAACGGGGAGCCCGGGAATGAGGGAAACTCATGTTGTGTAGTGTTACAGTCTCCCGTGTGCTCCCCCTGTATGCTGTGGCACTGTGTCGTACACAAAGCACACACATTGAGTGCGTTCGATTTTGCCCACGAATCGATGTCGAACCCATTCATGAATCGCCCCTGGCCACTCACATCACCCCATGTGAATAGGGTGAATGGATTGATTCCGAACTGATTCCCGGGCTCGTGACGTGAAATCGAATGACGAGATGATTTCATTCATGAATCGACTCATGGTAGTAATCTAGCGCACTCCGTATATATACTGCAGCTGAGCCAGCTTTGATTTCATTCTATAGTAAAACCTGGTGTAAGCGACCTCTGGGTTTAGCGACCACCTGCGCTTAACGACCGTTTTTCCATGCACGGACAGTTCTACACGGACTCTGTGGGACCTGGTTCTAAAGACCACCTGGCTTTAACGACCGCTTTTGCTTGTACCGTGGGGTGGTCGCTTAAACCAGGTTTTACTGTAATACTCCCTGATTAAGGCTCAAGGGGCGAACATGTGCAAACTAATTTAATTTTCAATTGCAGTCGAAGACCATTGGTTGTGAAGGTGTTGGAGAGTTCGTACAAAGTCTACTGCATTAAATACTTACAAAATGTCTTCAAATATGCGAGGAGGAGACACCAATTTTAATATGGCAGTAAGGAGGACGAGCTGAAGTGACATTTGGATTACTTTACGATAATGAAATCGTGACTTCAGCACATGGTTCAGAATATCTATGTGTCTTTCAATTGGCTATACAGTAAAACCTGGTTTAAGCGACCACCCCACGGTACAAGGAAAAGCGGTCGTTAAAGACAGGTAGTCTTTAGAACCAGGTCCCATAGTGTGTGCGTAGAACTGTCCGTGCATGGAAAACGGTCGTTAAGAGCAGATGGGCGCTAAAACGAGAGGTCGCTTAAACCAGGTTTTACTATATCTCCACCTGAAGTATTTAAATATTCGACGAGCAGACAACATTTTTAATATGGCTTCAACAAGGGGAATGGTGTGGTGGCTGATGAAAAAAATCGAAACCAAATGTCTGATCCAAAGCTGGACTGTTCTGCTGAGGTTGAGCCAGTGGGACTGTCTCATACAGTGCTCCTTTCATGCAGCCGCTGTGTGTGTGTGTGTGTGTGTGTGTGTGTGTGTGTGTGTGTGTGTGCACATGTGTATGTGTGCACACGTGTGTATGTGTGTGTGCGCGTGTCTGTGTGTGTACGTGTGTGTGTGTGTGTGTGTGTGTGTGTGTGTGTGTGTGTGTGTGTGTGTGTGTGTGATATTCTCCGGTCTCAAACAGGTGAGTACTTACTGACGGAGTTCGGTCCCTACGCGCCAAGTCATGTTGTCGTGGTAACTGACGGTAGCCAGGGTGCCAACATGGACGACGCCATGCAGAAGTCGCTTGGCACGATGCAGTTTCCGATACCCGGCAGCGTTCACGTCGTCCTTCTGTCCAGAGGTGACGAGCTTAACTCCAGCGTGGAGGAGTTCTATCGCAAGCAGTGCAGCAGCTATGTCAGTAACCCAGGTGATGTCCTCATTCCAGATGGTAAGTCATTAGCGTCGCACACGCTACGGTCACTACGGTACTGACCGTACCACTATTTGCCCCAAGTACCCCGTGAATCAATCAAATGCACTGATTTGGGCTCTAAAGTTCCAAATTTTTCGGCTCGGCCACCCCTCTCCCACGAGTAAATTGTACTTCAGATGGCTGACGGAACCACACTAAAACACCTTCCGACGCCCCTGACCCTGTAAGTGCAATCACTAGTAGACTGTACTGTAGTGGCCTCGCTCTCATACACTCATACCTCGGTTATCCGGACCCCGAAGCTACGGGCGCTTCGGTCTACCGGGCACCTTTTGGGGTGAGTTTCAGTTCAAATATCACTACTCTTTTGTCATTTTTTGTTGTGGAAATAGTGACGTCACATGCCATAGCGATGGCCTTTCTCCATCAAAATGTATGTATTTTAGTTAGGGACATTTCGAAGTTACGGGCAGTGTCCGGTCCCGGACCGCCCGGATAAACAAGGTATGAGTATACATGTACAGTAAATGCTGCCCTAACCGGACGCCCTTGGTGCAGTGGAAACTTCTCAGAGTCCACAGTGGCACCTATGATTACTACAGTACTGCGAAAGTGTCGCATGGCGTGTGGTGTCACTCATCACCCATGCACTATGTGAGTACTGTATAGCAGGAAATTTTCGGACGGAAATATTTTCGGACAAAGCCGAATTTCGACCTTTCGTACGGATTATATTTTCGTACAGTGCTGCATGCTAAATACACGTGTTTGCATGCAGTACGCATGTATAGTGTACATTATTTCACATGAACAAATTTTAGTACGGAATTAATTTTAGTACAAAAGAGGCCGCGTACGAAATCGTACGAAAATAAATTCCGTCCGAAAATTTCCTGCTATACAGTATATCCTCAGATAGACCAACCATTGACATGCTTGTGTGATCTGTCATGTGACCCAGGGGAATTCCCTCTGTTCATGCAGGGTATGCCCGTATGGGACATTTCCCTGACCCACGCCGTGTGTCCTCACTTAGACCAATCATGTATGTGCGAACTGTCATGTGACCCAGGGGAAATCCCTCTGTTCATGCAGGGTATGCGACATTTCCATGACCCTCGCCGTGTGTTCTCACATAGACCAATCACGTATGTGCGAACTGTCATGTGACCCAGGGGAAATCCCTCTGTTCATGCAGGGTACTATAGTATTGGCCATTCTCACTCGCAGTGCTGCTTGCCTGGCGCGATGCGTGCTTGCGGATGATGTAATTGCTGGCTGGCGAGTTCAGTCGCCACGTTCGGTGCGAGGTTTTGCACTCGACTTGCACCCAGTTGCGGTGAAAAGCACGTGACCTGACCAATTCTACCCTCTATTACAATGCTCCCTTCTCAGCACAACCTTGCGTTGTGTTCTTGTTGTTTTTGTCAAGACCTCTCTTTCTCCCTAGGATGAATATCATGCAAAACATTTTTTAAATCATTCTAAGACCGCTGAGGAGCTGTATCTTCACCTTGATCCAAGAGGGTGGTGGCGTTCCTCTGCGGATGCGCAAAACTGGGCCTTCAGCCGAGTCTCACGCGAACCGTGAACTTTTTTTTAAAGACCTGATTTAGAGTGTAGTATCAGTATTGTATTGTATTGTATCAAGCCATGGGCCTGACTCTACTCAGCATGGTCACGTGTATTTGGTCTGCACTGGCTGGTTGGGCGGTTGCCTTGGTGGCGGGCTTGTTGGCCAGTTGATGGGTTGGCTGATTTGCTGGTTTCTGGCTGATTTGCTGGTTTGGTGGCTGGCTGGCTGGTACCTATGTTGGTAGATGGGTTGAATTCTTTATTCTCACGATGGCACCATCGCCAATGAGAGATAAGCTTATGAGAAGGTGAGATGCTGTGGGTGGGGCTGTGGGTTATGCAGTTGGAAAGATTTACATCGCTTTGAATTTTACGAATATGGGAGAGGGTGAGCGCTACAGGAGCAGATTGAGTTAATCAGCAGTGAGCAGATTTCTTGTTTGAAAGCAGGTCGGGAGGAAAGGTCACGGACGCTAGCAGGGAGTGCATTGTAGTATTCTAGGGACTTGTAAAGTGGGGAGGGAGTCTTTACAGCGATCGGTTCTGGTGGGTGGGAGGTGCCAAGTGCGTGCGTGTCGAAGGCTATACTGGGTCATAACTTGAGCGGGGGTGTTGAGCATGCGTATGTGTTGTGGGGCATATTGGTAATTTATGGAGGGTGCAAGAAGGGCGAGCTTCACTTTGCGGGGGGTTGGTTGGTTGATTGGTTTCCTGGTGGGTTGATTTGTTGGCTGTTGGTCGGTTGGCTGTTGGTCGGTTGGCTGTTGGTCGGTTGGCTGTTGGTCGGTTGGCTGGTTGGTTTGTTGGTCGGTTGATTGGGTTGGCTGGTTTGGTGACTGGTTGGCTGGCTGGCTGTCCGGTAGGTTTATTGGTTGGTTGGTTGATTTGGTGGTTGGTTTGGTGGTTGGTTTGGTGGTTGGTTGGTTAAAGTAATGGGTTTTGTGTTTGTTGCTTGGCTGGCTGGTTAGTTATTTGGTTGTTTGGTTTGTGAGCTCGCTTGATCTGCTGTTTGGTTGGTTGGGAGTAAAGTTGATCACCAGGTGACTGTGATGATGTTGTTTGTTGTGTCTGCAGCCGTTTGTGATGCAGCTTGCCCTTTTGGTTTTAGTTTTTGAAAAGGAACGCGTGGAATGTCGACCAAATTTGTGTGTGTGTGTGTGTGTGTGCGGGTGTGTGTGTGTGTGTGTGTATGTGTGCGTGCGTGCGTATGCGTGCGCGTTTGTTTGTATGTTCTCACAGGCCCTCTGTCGCAGTCGAGTGTCGCAGAGTGTATGCAGAAGCTAGCTGAGCGGCTCCACGCGCCGTTCAATGGCCGCTTGACTTGCGGGCATCTCCAGGGCGATGTTTGTCTGGTGCCCCGGCCGTTCTTTCTGCCAGCGGCTCGCGCCTTGCGACACACAGCGTCCTGTGCTGGTCATTCGGCTGTCGATGCTGCTGTTGCCGCGATCAACAGTGCTTCCGCCTCAAGTACGACTGCATCAGGTAGCGTTGGAGGCAGTGGTGGAGGCAGTGGTGGTGGTGGTGGTGCCGTCACTGATCCTTGCGAAGGCACCGCGTTGCATCTGCCATCAAAGTTTGAGGTCAGTTGTGTGTGTGTGTGTGTGTGTGTGTGTGTGTGTGTGTGTGTGTGTGTGTGTGTGTGTGTGCGTGCGTGTGCCTGCATGCATGCATGGGTGCTTGTGTGTGTGGGGGGGGGGGGTACATGCGAGTGTGTCCGAAAAGACCAAAAAGTAGGGATTCACTGGCCAGAAAAAGCCACTTGATAGCTGTGCTGTGTAGACCAGGCTGAATAGTAGCGACTACGCCACTGTACTGATCTCTGTCTCTCTCTCTGTCTCTCTCTCTCTCTCTCTCTCTCTCTCTCTCTCTCTCTCTCTCTCTCTCTCTCTCTCTCTCTCTCTCTCTCTCTCTCTCTCTCCCTCTCTCTCTCTCTTTCTCTCACGTCTTTATTTCTGCAGGTGTGTGGATTTCTGGAACAGTCGTCAGTCGCTGGACCACCTATTTTAGCACGGCACCTGGTACTGGATCCCTCCAGCAGTGTGGCATCATTGTCATGTAGCGGGACGGCATCGTCTTCTCTGGCGAGTAGAGATCAGCGGAGCAAGTCGACAGGTCGGGCAGGTACCAGTGAAGGCGAAGGTGAGAGTAGATGTCTGCCTGGCGCGTGTTCTGCCGGTCGCCGCAGAACTGGGTGGGGGTCAACCTCGTAGCCTAGACCGTTCTTCGATTATTTTCATGTACTGCAATGTATACACAGTTGAGTCACCGTGTATACATTGGTACTGTCAAAGCCTTATACATGTATATATCGAAATACTACATAGTCAACGAGGAGAAATCTGTCGTTAAAATGGAAAACGTTATGCAGTAATCGGTTCTTATACTGCTGCTAGTGTAGTATCCCTACCTTGCTAGTACTGAACTGTAGCTGACTACGCATATCCAAGAGTCCATAAACAAGAGTATGCAACTGTGATCTCTTTTCTATGGGCCAGTTGCGCAGCGCGCTGCCTTCATTACATCATTCAGCTGCAGTCCGCGCATTGCGGAAAATCAAACACCGCACTTTCCCTCTGGTTTGAAATGAACTTTCGTACGGAACTGGAGTTCACGCGCCAGAATTCAGAGATCGCGTAGGTACTGGAACGAATCGAGCAAAAATGGATGGGCTCGTACGAGAAATTGTGAGTTTGAATGCTTGCTTTCAGAGCGTGATGAAGGCAAGTTACGTAATGAAGGCAGCGCGCCGCGCACTGGGCCATAACCACAGTTGCATACTCTTGTTTATGCACTTGATATAGCGTATAGCGTATATTTAGCGTATCCCCGTACGTTAGCGTACGGAGTCTGCCGCCCTATAAAAGCTGCTGCGCTTTACTGATTTCCATACAACAACAGATTTCTGATTTCTAAAACTGCAACACCAACAGAGCCGAGCAGAAGAGCTGTTCTGACCTCCAGGTGTGCACCGGAGAAAGTTCCTTTTTTGCCGCTTCTCTTTTTTTGCCTTTTTACATGACCATCCAGGTGTGTACCTGAGAAAGCTTGATTAAAGTTAATTCGTGTTGATTGTCACGCCTCCACTCGGCTACCCAATACACTAGTGAGCGTTGAGAATGAGAGAGCATCGTCCTTTGGTACACGTGAACCGGTCGATGTTAGGAAATCGCTATGTTTGCAGCTCGGTAGAACAACGGCTTTTACAGTGTGCTGTGCTTGGTGAAATCCTAGCCTTGTTCTTTCATCGGCACCCGGCAGTGGTGTAGAATAGGGAGGTTAAGATGCACGTTATTTCTGACGTGATGCGCAATTTCACGTCAAATTTGGCGTTAAACTCCAAATGTCAACGTAAGCTGCAGGTCACTGGCGTTGTTTTCCAACACGCGAGCCAAATAACGCGAGCTGAACTTTCGCGTCACGTCAGAAATAACGTGCATCTTTTAAACCTCTCTAATAGCTTACCCTGTACTGTTGTTTCCCGAATCATTGGGGGCCTGGGAGACTCGCTGGTGGTAATGGACACGCAAATGGTCGCGGCCGCGGAAGAGGAAAACGCGGGAAGATATTCGTAGGATGTTTGTTCCGACGGGATGTGCCTTCTTGGCGGGCTCGCCGTGTCAATTGCTGTTCGTTGATGTATAATCTGGCGGCGTTGATGAATTCTTCCTGTCCTTTCTGTGTGTTGGTTTGATATTGTTTGTTTAGCCTCTGGTCAGCTCAGTACCGGCTCCAACATACGATTGTCCACTGCGTCGCCAACGGCAGACGGTGCAACCGAGAGTTCTCCCGCCCTGCAGATTGGCGTGGACACGGAGCAAGGTGAAGGTACCACCGCCGCTGGAGCAAGCTCGTCGTCGGCAAACGCCGACGGCAAGAAGCCGTCGTTTCGCGTCCTTCTTCATGCCAGTCTTCGTGTTGAGGCACTTGTGGCTCTGGTCCGATTCAGGTGAGTGTGACGGCGTGGCCTGTACAGTCAACTTTGCGTATATCGACACTCGGCGGGGCATCAGAAAAGTGTCCATATTCGCGAAGTGTCATTATACCCGATATCTCACTATATGTATTACAGTGGGATGGGACTTTGCTCTGGGCATGGAAATTCTGTCGTTATATTCGCGGATTGTCGTTATATCCGCAGTCGTTATTAGCGAAGTTGACTGTACGCAGTAACGGTGTCTGCTCCAGAGCCGGGTCAGATTTTGGAGGACGCAACCTTTCTCACCGTAGGCGATCCCCCTGTCAAAAAGTAGGGGTGAAAGTTGGCATTGAGATCCCGAGTTCGAGTACTCTGATTTTCTCCGATCGAATATTCGAGTATTCGAGTATTCTTCATCTCCTAAAAATTGCACACCGAGGGCCTTAAAGGGGAAGTTAAGGCAAAAATTAAAATTTCACCAGTTGTAGTCTTCGGGGTGCTGAGTCGAATGGTCGTGGTCCGAGGAAGCTGAGACGCTCCCTTCCTACTTGGTCCGTTTCATCGCAATTGTCGCTTATCTATCGCAACTAAGAACAGGAGTTTTTTTACCGCTCTGTGAAATTTCCAATACGCACAGTGAAGAAGCATGATACAGGATTCCTGTCCGCCACAAGAAATAAATTCAGCGATGGAATCTGATGAAGCAAGTCGAAGAAAGGAAGCAAGGTTACAAAAAATGTACAAAAGAAAACAGCGACGGAGCGCCTTCTTGCACTCAGGCTTTAGTTTATCCGACTCTGGCTCTGTATCACTCGAGCTGATGCCACTTGAGCTCACATTCACTGGTGTGTATAGCTGCTAGCGTAGAGTACCGTATCTCTTGCTTTCTCTGCTTGGCGTATAGCAGCGACGGGAAAGAAACAGTCGCCGTTGTCACTTGGGCACTTGGAGGAACGTGGGCAGCGTGACCCGTCTGTCACTACAGTACTGTGTGTTCAACAATGTTTTTGAATCAGGCACACATCCCTCTCCAGACAGCTGTCATACGCTCTGCTGGATACGCTGACCACGACTCTTGTACTGCCGCTGCCAGGTCGGACAATGTCTTCTTTGCCACCATCTCGCCATCAAGGCATCAGTTTGCAGGCTTGCAAAGAATACCAGGTCATTGCAGTTCAAACATTGCAGTTCAAACAACTGAGCTGGCTGGCCTGGCCGTGACTGTCACGCTCTCCAGGTCAGGATGTCGATTTCCCCTGCTACAGTTCCGGTCTTTGAGCTGCGC